AAGCGGCCCCCCCGACCCCCCCTCTGACAGCGGCAAGGCTGGGGACAGCGAACACAACCGTTGGTGCTCATCGCTCTCACTCTGAAGTTACATTTTCCGATGCCTTTCAATATCAAAAAAAAAAGAATCTCGGCAAACTCACGTCACATATCAGCCTCTTCTCATAGCGACGTGAACACAAACGCCACCAAAAGTTCACCGCGCCACCCCTTCCACCAAAGACCTAAACCCTGAATTGCTGTGGTGCTTCCAGTGAGGGGTTTACGGGCATTAATACAAGGTCAACAACACATAGTCTTAAATCAGGCTGAAACCTGCTGTTTGGAGCAATGCGACTGATGCCGAAACACGCACGGGACAGTCTGGTCCTCGCTACCCCTCACACCAGCCAAAGCAAACAGCAATCCGCACCAGTGTCGCTAAAGCGTTGCCACAGGACGCGGCAGAGCCGAAGCGTAAGGGGCTCCCCAGGCCAGGGCAGGCCGTGGGGTTCCCACCCGCAGCCCCTCACCAGGGCAGCCCAGCCCAGGGAGGCTCTCTGCAGCTGCACGCTGGCGGCTGAGAGGGGACACCACGACAGCCACTCCACTCCTGCCCTTTTTCTTCTACTCCTCTCCAAGCATTTGTGAACAACCTTTGTCAGAGACCGCAAAAAAACGGGCCTTCGGTCTGACTTACTACGGCAGGGATTCACACCGTGGGGCTGACCACCATCCCAACGCTTAGGGCGCAAAGGGGACCCTTCCTCGTGCAGAGCCTGCCTGCGCAGCCAGCCAGCACACAGCCCTCCCCTCCCTTGCCACAGGCTGCAGCACCACAACCACTCTCCCTTCTGCAGCAAAGGTATTTTTATCTCTCATGACTCAGTAACAACCAAAGACAGGCACAGTTTGTCGCAGTCTTCTGGGTGGAATTGGTGTGCGTTTTGCAGCTGGATCACAGTGTTACCATTTAGCTCAACCCTGCCAATACAGCCGGGATTAATGCTCACCTCTGTTCCCTCGCATGGCCACCAGTACCTTCTCTACAGGTTTTAACAATCTGCTGGGTTTCAACACAGGGTCAAGTCACAGAGATTAAAGATCGACATATGTGCTTCACCAGCCGCTAATCTGCAATGCACGTTAATAGCTAATAATCAAAACGCTGGCTATAGATTATACAGGGTGAAGCTGTCGGGCATTAGTGGCTCACACAGGGGCCTTAGGAGCACCTGGCTCAGCTCCCAGCTTCAATGCAAACAGGAGGCTGGCTGATCCATCCTACTGAGAAATACTTTTCCAACAGCTACCTCAATCTGCCTGCCTTGCTCTTAAACACTCATTTCTGCTGCAGATGAATAAATGCTCCTCTCTCGCATTTTTCTGCCCGTCCTTCTAAGTGTAACACTCCACGGCAAGAGGAGATCAAGAGAAATGAGGTGAGGAGTAAGAGAAGGCAACAACTGACGACCTCACATATGTGAAGTGTGAGAACAGTAGGGACTCGGGGGAGGAGGAAGCAGACAGGCTTTTGAGCTCATTTCCTCCTTCCTTTCTAGCTAAATCCACTTCATGGTTCCGTTCCCAAGGACTACATCAGGTAAAAGTCCCCATGGAACAAGGTGGACCTCAACCTGCTCCAGAGGAGTCACCTTCTCCAAACAGCACTGAGTGATAACAAGCTCAGGAAGCAAATGGTAGAGTTCTGGAAACACAGTTTTGTTACACGCTTCCTTGGAAACCAAAATTCCTCTTTTTTTTTAAAAATTTTTTAAAGGGGAAAAAATAAATCACCACAACTTCATGTTAGGAAATAAACTCTTTGAAAATTGAAGTTCTTGGAAATAAATAACCCAGCGATTTTCAAGAGTACATTTAGTATCAGAGTCAACCCTTACTGGTTTTTGTATAATTCCACTTAAGAAGCCAGATAAAGCATACTGAATTTTCCTTTCAGTTGTTGGTAGAGCGCATATTTGGTTTTTGACATACTTATTCCTTAACTGTCAGCTTACTTTTTCCTAATTCTGAAGAATTGATTTATTTTCAATTGCACTTTAGAGTCACATTAGTAGAAACCGATCTCTGGATCCTGGAAAATTGAATCTTAAGAATGCCAGTAAAAAGGTAAGCAGAACTACCCAACACAGAAAGGTCCCATCTCATGTCTGTAATTATGAAAATGCGTTATAATCTGGAAAGTTGTTATAAGATTATGAATTTTAATTCTAACGCTACTTTGCGTTACAGTAATCTAACTCTGACCGCTTGTAGGTTTTACAGAAATCAGGTCCCCATTGTTCAGCATAAAGCATTTTTTGCTGTTTATAATTACAGGAATGCTGGGCTCACCTATGCTTACAGCCCTTTGCGTGTGCCATGCGCACTATAGTTGTGCACATCAGAAACCTAGACTGAAAGAAAGTTAAAACCATAAAGCTAGCAATTGGAAAATTATGAGAAATATATATTAGTTATCGATTTCTTACATATACTTCCCCAACGTAAAGTAGTGTTGTAATTACAATTCATACAACTGCTTTTGGATGACATAATCCTATAGCGCATGCGCTCATTCTTCTGCCATTGCCTAATTTTATGAGCTTGGCATTGCAAGCTAGTGCTCTTCTTAACACTGCCCTCTTCCTTTCTTTTGAATATCAAAACAAAGAATGAACTTCTGCTGTACACACCTTCCTGACCACAGTTTGGGTCATCGGGCAGGTCCAGGTCTTTAGCTTACCAGTATGTGAGATAATAAAGAGAGAGAGGGCAAGCCACTGTCCTCAGGTAGCCCTTGTCATTGCAGAGATGAGTCACTATCCCCAAGAGCAAATAAATGAAGTCACAGACCTGGGGGTTCAACTCAAATCCTGCAGGAAGCACTTCCCTCCCAACGCGCTCTCCTGCTCCAGACGCTCTATGCTGTCTCTATTCCCAGCCTGCAAGCCCTGCTCTTCTTCTTACACCCTTGGCTGGCTCTTGATTCAACGCCTGCTCTCCACCAGCGGCTCCTGCACTCCCACCCGCCAGCAAAGTCTCCTCTCCGTAGCGCTTACATTTTCCAATAGTTCTCTTTATGACTTGCTCTGTCTGAAGTCTACCTTAATGGGGGCAATTATTAGATACTGTCTGCTATATAATGGATGAAAAAGAGGTAGAAATCTGAGGAGGAAAGTCTCTTCCCTTCCACTTTTCTAAGTAAAGCCGTGATTATATTTTTTTTATTAATTGTTCATGACAGGCATTTGCGATCATTGAACGAAAAACACTACGTCGTGCAGACTCCAGGAGGAAGGAAACTGCAGGTCTGTCTTTTTTAAATTTAATTTAAGGATGTGATATTTCACAGGAATGAGTTGAACTGAAAATGGAATGACTGGAATAGCCGAGCAACCTCTCAGTAGAGCACGCAGCCAGAGCAGCCTCTCAGTCCTGTACATTCATTCTAGTGACTTAAATGAGCACTAAAAAAAACCCAAACCCAGCAACACGACAACCTTTAAACCAAGACATCTGTTTAGAGGTTTTACATTGTACATATGGACTAAAGGAAAAGAAAAAAAGAAAAAAAAAAAAGACTGTAACCTGCTATTTCAAATGCTCTCATTTGTTCTAAAACCTCAACCATAACAGTGGTTCAGCCTAGGTCCTACTGGGATTCCGCTTTCCTTACTTCTCCCTGGAGCAGTCCTTCAGGGTGCGGGAGAAACAGCTGTTTTCTTGAGCCCTGTTTGCTCTCGGTGTGAGCTTGAAAATGTATGCGTGTTTTCTGGTACTAATCTCACAATCAGTAAGTCGTCTTACGAAGACTCCACAGAATTGATTTTAAAGTCATCCATGGCATGCAGTAAATTCCAATTAGTCACTCTCTGGAAGACACATTATGTAAATTTAATCCAGTCACACAATTTAGTCAACATCGGACAAATTATCTTTCTAAAGAGGCAAATCGATGCATTTCCCATTTGTTGAGTAATAAACCAAAATCACTTCAGAAAAAAACCCCAACGAAACAGAAAATTCAAGAGCCAGGTTAAGCTCAACAAGTCCTAAAATGCTCAGAGTGGACCTGATCAGACCTCCTAAAGCCCCCATGCATTTCCAGGACAATTTAGTGTTCCATTTCATGACCACCTGGCTCCTCTCTCAAACACGGTATCGAGTTTTCTTCAGTCTCAGGAATGCACTGCAGGCTTTTCATTCTCATATGGTATTTTCCTGTTGTTATGACTAAATATGCCTTTATTGTTTCAGACTTCATGTATAATATGATCCCTTCCCTCTAAGGAATGTATTTTAATAATAATAACAACCAGCAGTTATATTGCGGGCATTTTCTCAAAATCGAAGATGATGCCCTACTGTACATATTTCGAGAAATGAGATATTTGGGTTGCCATGTGGTTAGCCATTGTATATTTTGTTGTGTTCTGTTTCACTGTATAGCTAAACTTACCCAAATGTATATGCTCAGAAAATCCTTCCCTGCCTGAACACTTTATGAGCGT